AATTTTTTTTAAAAAAAATTTGCCTCTTCAAAATCTTAGTGCGTCTTATACTCCAGTGCGTCTTATACTCCGAAAAATACGGTAAGCATGGTGCCACCCTCTGACATGAGTTTGAAAATGGCAAACTCTTTTCACAATTCCTACAGTGGTCTGCTTAGCCAGAAAGGACAAGAGAAGACAGAAACGTTAATTAATAAATGAATTTTTTTTTATTAAAAAAAAACAGATTACAGGTTTCTTGCCTGTCTTACCTTAAAATCCTCCGGGAGCAGCAGCTTTGAAGTTCTTAAGAAGCTCAAGATGTATCTGAATATTTCACCATCTCGATCAATGAAATAGTGTTGTTTTAAACTGTCCAAGACAATCGGCTCTGTGCCATTAAAGAGGCGGCTTATTCTGGGGAGGCAGAGGAGGGAGAAAAGGAAGAGAGTTGGCAAAAAGGAGCAGAAGGCTGGTGGGGGGGGGGGGAACAGAAAGGCAGCACATCCTTTCTAAGGTCCTAGAGAGCTTTCCTTAACGTCACCTAGTCCAGTCGTGGGTTTCAATTAACTTTGCTACTGGTTCGCTTGTGCACTGGGTAGGTCAGCAGAGCCTCCCACTGCCGCCACTACTGGTTTGCCCTATCCAGGATGAACTGGCAGAAACCCTCTTCTGACCTAGACTCATTTCCAGGGCAGGAGGCTGCAGAAATTAAGTCTGTCCTGCAGAGTCATCCACACACATCCCAAAGAGTCAAGTCACATTGTCATGAATATGACCAAGAACCACGAACTGATGAAGGTCACAGGACTGGCTGGCGAGGAAGAGAAGATGCCCAGACGACTCTAGAAAGAAGGCTCCAAAGGAGTCATTCTACAGCAGAGGTCCCCAAACTTGGCAACTTTAAGACTTGTGGACTTCAACTCCCAGCTGGCTGGGGATTTCTGGGAGTTGAAGTCCACAAGTCTTAAAGTTGCCAAGTTTGGAGACCTCTGTTCTACAGCATCCGTCTCTTCTTTCCCTCCCTGCAAAAGAAAACTCCGAGGAGAGGCTCAGATTCAGGAGGACCCAACCACTGCTTGAACAACACAACCTGGCAGCCCTGAAGAGGCTCCCAAAATTCCTCTGGGAGCCAAGGACGCTCTACCAGGGGTTGGAAGGGTGTGGACCAAAGCTAGCTGGAGTTGGGACTGCAACCTGATTGGACCATGTGATGGACATGTGACCTGGGGGAGAGGCAAGAACTTTGGGTTTTGATTTGGGTGGGGAAAACTCTGGGTCCTTCAGAGTTGGCTTTTCATCCGCTGTGCCAATATGACATCCCAAAGAAAATTATGCTCTGGGGAAACTCTGGGCCTCGGAGTTTTGATTGCTTTGAGGTTGTTACTTGGAACCCTGACACAACCTACTGACTCCTCAGCAGAAACATGGCCGCAACAGGGGTGCAGGACAGGGGTGAAATCCAGCAGGTTCTGGAGAACCAGTAGTGGAAATTTTGAGTAGTTCAGAGAACCGGCAAATGCTACCTCTGGCTGGCCCCAGAGTGGGGTGGGAATGGAGATTTTGCAGTATCTTCCCCCTACCAGGCCTACCAAGCCCCACCCACCAAGCCACACCATGCCCACCAAGCCACACCCATAGAACCAGTAGTAAAAAATTAGAATTTCATCACTGGTCCAGGATGAGGGCAGGCAAGGTGTCCTGTGCTCATCACAGGCAGCCGTGGGACCTGGCAAGTCAGTCCTGCAGGGAGAAAGGGGGCACAAGGGGAATCTTCCCTAACCAGCTTCTGTTCTTGGCTCAGGAACCACGGTTTATGAAACTGAAGACATGGCATCCATACCAGGCATTTGGGGGATTGCTTCCCTCTCTTTTAAAAATTTCCAGCCACATGTCTCTTCTTTTTTTTTGGGGGGGGGGGGAAACTATGTGATTCAATCTCTTGTGGGGCCCCCATTTCCCATCTGGGTTTTTGGTTTTTTTTTNAATAGGGGACCCCTGTTCTAATCTAATCCCTTGCTCAGGCAGGAGACTATACCATTCCAGACAAATGGGTGTCCAATCTTAAAAACCTCCATAAGGCATAAGGAATTATAATTAAGATATAATGGAACAACAAACATAAAAATATGGATATCAAATTCATCTGTCGCTGTTATATTAATACTGTCATCTAAATTAACAGTACATATAGTCTGTAAATGACGTAACATGCAAAAGCCAGAGAAAGAAAAGGTTTGGAAATGCATTTCAGAAACGTCACAAGTAAATCTTCTGGGCCCTTTGATTGAAAAGAGACTACCTTAGACATTGATCAACAAAATCTCTTGGCCACACAGCACTGCAGATCAGGGTAGATTTCCCTCTCAAAAGTTGTGTGCTTATTATACAAGGGCAGCTCTCAACAAACTCACATGGTATTCAGCAGAGAAATGCAAGCTCGGCTTACTCCCCCCGCACTCTTATATCCTGTCTTAACATCACCCATATCCTGTTTGCTTAAGCCCAAGGGCACAAGATGGCTTGTTCTCCCATTAATTCAGATCTAACTTTGCATACTTAGCAGAGGTTGCAAAATGACCCATCCTTTTCCTTGCTTCCCGGGAGGTGGGCGGGTGGAGCATTAAAAGAGTGAAGTGTTATTCTGTGTGAAGGGAGCCTTGCTAAGGCCAGAGAAGGAAGCCATTCTTATTCCTCTCTTGCATGGCAAAGAAAAGAACAAAGGATCCCGTATTGCCGCAGCCAAGGGCCCAAAATCCAGTCTGGTTTAGGGGATATACGCTGAGGTAGGCCCATGTTCTAAACTAGATTAGAGTTAACGTCCCCATAACTAATATTTATTAACTAACCACTGAATAACTACAGTGAGCATTGTAATACTCATGTAATTCTGATTTATATCTGTCATAAACCTGTGTTCTGGAAAGCATCCTGGTTTGGGAGGGTTTGAAGAAACAACAATCTATTTACAGTCCCAAGACTCGCACATAGAAATTAAAACAACCACATGTGATTTGAGAATACAACCACATCTCATTAATTAATACTTCTGTTGTAGCCTGTGACAAGAGCAAAGTCTTGGCACTTGGGTTGGGATTTAGCAATGGTATAAGGGATTCCAGGGCACTTACGTTTTAGGAATATCTCTAAACCCCTTTGGTCTGAACAGCCAAGCAGACTGTTAAGGTTTGATGTGCACACCAAGAGAGCGATCTTAACAACTCAGAGGTCGTGTACCTCTGGAGTAGCCTTTTGATTTCTTTCTTCTGGTAACTGCGAAGCCCTTGATCTTGATTTCCTGGGTTTGGGCAGCTTGCAAGGACTTCAAAGGCTCTGTCTAGTTGGGTGCCCCCTCCCACCAGCACCACTGCTGCCTCCTGGGGAATGCCTCCCTCCTGCTCTCCTGCAGTGCCATGTTTCCCACCTCTGCCTCTTGAATGCCATATCTGAGCAAAGCGGAAGTGACAGACACCGCACAGAGGAGAGGGAAGAGCTCAGAGGACTTGTCAGCTTTGCTCTGTCTCCTCGGGGGTCTCTGGGGATACGACAGCTTTCAGGCAGGATGGGGAAGGGGGCAAGAGGAAGTGGTCTCCCAGGCTGGCCAAAGTTTTGCCCTTGGGGATCCCAGACAAATTGGAATCTTTGACAGGAGTTCTTTTGGAGCTTGTTTCTCATAAAGGAACCATTGTATTGTGACCATTTGACTTGGGACAGGCAAATTACCTTTGTGATCACCATGAAAGAGCATAGATGCAGCTGCAAAATTAAAGGTCGGTTGCGCGATTTGCTGAAAATAATGTTTAAAGAGCTCTCTTTGCAAGGGAGATTTAGACCCTGCTATGCCACAGGGAAGGGAATTGCCCCCAGAAATTTAACCACTCCCATCAGGGGGGAAACCAAAGCCGTTCAAGTGCTGAGCTGCTAGAAATGTGAAGACTAGGACTTTGAAGGATTTAGCACAATTGTTGCACTCCCATAAATGTTAAGCTGAAGAAAGGTGCCCACAATAACCTATACGCTAGTGTAATTGATGTCCTGGTTCTCATAGCAGGACCATATTGAGTTGGGCTAATAACTGACCACCATCGTGGCCACTATCTTGATTGGCCCCACTACCCCGAAGATGCTGGGTTTTATAATACTTTGAACACCAAACCACCCAATCCTTCTGTCGAGTGAGTTGCTGCAGGAGCCTAGGATGGGGAAGAGAGGCGTGTCTGCAGTGAGGAAATCACAGAAAGCCATAAAATGGTCTCAGCCCTTAATTTATGCAAAGTCTAGCGGCCTCCCCAGGCATGTGCCTGGGGAAACCGCACCTAAGACCAGAGGCACAAGCAGCTGCTCCATCTGTCTGCTCTGAAAAAGGAGGGGAGGCCACTCTTCTTGGACTGATGCTTGGTCCATGGGGCAAGAAGCGTGCTAAGCCCTGTTTTGTCATTGTGACGTCATGCGAAGTCTGAACAAAGAAGCTGTACAGGGATTCTGGCAGTCCAGAATCTGTGAGCCCAGCCAATACATTCATTGGGTTTGCCTTGGAGCACTTCAGAGCATCTTTATTACACATCTTATCAACAAATGTAGATTGTTGTTCAGAGCTCTCATGATGGAGTTCAGCCCCAGAACTGAAACACACACACAAACACACTCCTCCTGGTATGTAGGGAGGAAAGGAACTTCCTGCCCTTTGGAAGAGGGGCTGTTTTGAGGACAAGCCCCAGGTCTGTCTCTCCCAGGGGAGAAAGTGTCTATGCTGTTGGTATCCTTGCCTTAGAGGGCCCATGCGGCAGCGGCGGAGGGATTTTTTTCCAATGAAGACTTCACACAGGCCATTCTGTTGGGCGGAGAATGGATACTCTTGCTTGCTTACTAATCTTTGAAGCTCCAGTTTCTTTTAAAATATTATATTCCATTGTAATTTTATCAAGAGCCCAGCTGTTTTGGTAGAAAGTTCAGTATCCCAGCACATGTTTTTTTTTTTTAAAAAAAAAACCTCAGTCCAACAGAGACAGATCTTTTTAATGGGAATAAAACATGCTGCCTTTGCTCTTTGGAAGACGAAAAATGCCCTGGAAAATTAGAATGGCTCTTGTGCCTTTGCATGGCGGCTATGCTCGCCGGTCTCCACCTGAACTTCTGCTGCTGCCTAAGAGGAGACAGCACAGCTGCCAAGGAATGTCCCAGCTGTGTCCTTTCCTTCCTTGTCAGCAGCTGTTTGACTGCTTCCTTTTTTCCTCTCCTTTTCTTTATTTTTAAAGGCATTTGCAATTTCTTTTCCTGCTTTGGAGCAGAGCTGTTGAGACCGTCAGCTTTGTTTGGAGAGTGGGTTAGAGCAGTGTTTTTCAACCACTGTGCCGCGGCACACTAGTTATATATAGTCAATATAGGCACAGAGTTAAATTTTTTTAACATTTTCTAAT